GGTGGTGTACCCTGAAATTGCTGCGACCCAAGTGGGTTATTAGGGTTAAAACCCCTTGTGAATCGGGTTATTGATTTTAGACTCGGTACACACGTATCACTGACCAACCTTTGGTCCGCCGGACCACGTGATTCTGGGCAGAAAACAGACAAAAAAAATTTCATCTTGATTTGTTTTCTCGCTCATTTCGAATCCGTTTTTCGTTCCGTTTTCTCGAGTTAATTCATGATTCAAGCCTCCACATATCTAAGTCTTGTTACATAACTCAATCTACCATACATTCATTTATATAACAAAATTAACTTAGATCAAAACCAAGGAAAAACCAAGTTTGAACAATTTTCAAACTTGCTCAAGAGTGATCGTTCTTCATCGAAACGAAGAACCGAGCTCTGATACCACTGTTGGGTCACAAGGGATCCTAGACCGCTGATTCAAAACCGTGTTAGGATCTTATCCGCGGGTATACGCAGCGAAATTAGCGTTCAAAACCGATTTTGAATACCCACGGACCAATCTTTCGATGACAAACTTCTCTTGGAGAGAAAACTAACCTTTGATTCACAATCCGAAGGTTGGTTTGTTGATCACAGTCTAGATGTGGAAAGAGTCAACACCCTCTTGAGCAGTCCACACCCTTGGGATGGTTTCCAACACTTGGAAACTTGATTGCTAGAGCTTGAAGAGGACAATTCTCTTGGGTATGATCTCAATAACACCTTCTTGAGTTTGAGAGAGCTTCTGCAACTTCCAGAGACTTTCCAAGGTCTGAAAGGTCGAATGATTGAGAGAGGAGTGCGTTCCCTATTTGTTTCCACCAAGAAAAGCCGGAAAACTCGCACTTTGGAGTTTTTGACACTTGGTCCGCCGGACCAACACTTGGTCCGGCGGATCAGGCATGTAAAAACTCGCCCAAATTTTAGTCAGGTTCTTAGTCCGGAGCTGACCAACGTTTGGTCAGTCGGACCAAGAATGTTACGGTGCCGACAGACCAAAATTTTCACGATCCGGCGGACCAGGATTTTGGTCCACCGGACCAGGCGTGCTCCGGACCGTGCCCATAGTCAGTCTAACCTATCTGGTCCGCCGGACCAACTTTTGGTCCGCCGGACCAGGCAGGTCCGAGCTTCGCACATCTCAGTCCGTCTGGCTGGTCTGGTCCGGCGGACCAACTTTTGGTCAGCTCCGGACCAGACCAGTTTTTCGCCAATCTAGTCCGCCTCTCTCAAGTCTGTCTGGTCCGGCTGACCAACTCTTGGTCAGCTCCAGTGTCATCCGCCGCTCCAGTCATCCCCCCTCTGATTTCCGTCACCTGCTATCGTAGTTCATAAGCATCACCAATACTCCTAGAAACAGGGGTATCATCTCGAAGATCCTATCCGAATACGGCAGTAAACCCGAGTTCCAATCTCGCTTTCCAAATCATAAGCGGTCTCTAGCAAGACATTATGATTACTCGTATCGGAAAGAGTTAGATGTGATCTAACCGAAAAGCCAGAGATAGCTCCAACAATGATCCTCTTTGTCTCACAATATCATAATCGAACTCATAGTTCAAATGCTTTGTCGTATCCCAAGTAGACTGTAAGAGATAGATGACATTCATCTATAGTGCGGCCACACATTTCTACAGTCTCACTCCTACGATGGGTCCAAGCGATATCTCTCTCTTTCGAGAGGGACAAAGTTCCATCTTGACTATCTACTATCCACTTCATGATTCGCAATGTACCCGAGCCACGCCTTTATAATCATCTGGTTAAACACGACGTTTGACGTAATCAAAGTACATTACTCGTCATGATGGATACAATAGATATCTCAGGTCTGAGGATCTAAAGTGAACCATCAAGTGAGTAAATCCAAATGGATTA